TTGACTCGGTAGACCGCGAGGTTCTGTGGCAGTGTCTGTCATTGAAAGGCGTACCTCAGAAGTACATAAACCTTGTGAAGGCTCTTTACTCGAACACTACTAGTCGAGTGAGAGCTTATGGCGAACTGTCATCTACTTTTGCAACCTCAAGTGGTGTCCGTCAAGGATGTCCACTTTCCCCATTTTTGTTTAACTTCATCATAGACCTACTGATGGAAATAACTTTCTCGTCGACTGAGTTCTCGGGTATTGATCTCCATCCAGGAGGTCAACTTATCGACTTAGAATACGCAGATGACATAGTCCTGTTTGGTGAAGACGCTGACAAAATGCAAAGCCTTCTGGTAGCACTGAACAACAATGCCAGAATGTTTGGAATGCGCTTCTCTCCCTCTAAATACAAGTTGTTGCTTCAGGACTGGTCTGCGTTAACACCTGAACTAAGGATAGGGGGTGAAGTAGTCGAACGCGTTGACAACTTCACTTATCTTGGAAGTCTGATCAGCCCTAATGGGTTGGTATCGGACGAAATCTCAGCACGGATTCGAAAAGCTCGTTTGGCTTTTGCCAACTTACGTCACCTGTGGCGAAGGCGAGATATCCGTCTATCAATAAAAGGACGAGTATACTGCGCGGCAGTCCGTTCTGTTTTACTTTACGGCAGCGAAACATGGCCATTAAGAGTAGAAGACACTCGTAAGCTAGTAGTATTTGACCACAGATGCCTTAGAAATATTGCTGGCATCTGCTGGGATAATCGGGTAAGTAATAGTGAGGTTAGACGCAGGGTATTAGGAAAGGATGGTAAATCAGTTGATGAGGTTATGAATCTTCATCGACTGAGATGGTTGGGCCACGTGTTACGTATGCCTGAACACCGATTACCACGACGTGCAATGCTATCCGGTGTTGGAAATGGTTGGAAGAAAGTTAGGGGCGGCCAAACCAAAACGTGGCATCAGTGTTTGAAGTCATTAACTTCTAGTCTGAGCCATGTTGGTAGATGCAGACTACTTGGTTGGGGTCCGCGTGATTATCGTAACCAATGGTTGGAGACTCTTGGTGACATGGCTCAGAATCGATCACAATGGCGTCGGTGTATACACTCCCTGTTTTCCCTTAAACTAAGAGATTAAAAGCGCTTTATATCTTTCTTTCTACTAACCAACTCTTTCTTCTTGTACTATATCTCTATATGCAATCTTTCTCTTATATATTACCACCTTTTACCTAACCACTGTCATGAATCCGGTGTTCATCTTGTTGTGCTGATGCGATATGGCAACCTGGACCGATGCACATATGTGCCTGGTCCTACGTTGTAGCTGACTGATTGACTGACTGACCGTGCGCGACCGGCCTTAAGCAGTTGTCCCTTGGGCTCTGCGGTCACGCTCCCAGGTAGTTAAGACCAACACTAATCCAATTTCCTTCTCAGGTTCCTCAAGAAATACCCTTCCACGGTGTGGGCAGCCGGGAAGTGACATCAGCCCTCATTCACGTAACAGCACACGAGACCAAGTTGGTCACATTCAAATCCTTCCTACACCTCCTAATACCTCTCTTATCTCCATGACTAACCCTCCTCACGTCTCTTTATCACCTCGCACCGCTAGGGCAAACGATTCGAGTACGCGGAACGCTATTCCTGGTCTCCTGAAACCACGCTCTAAACTACACGTAGGAGCTTTTAACGTCCGAACACTGTGCCAAATAGGACAGCAGGCTTCCTTAGCTATGACTTTAGAATCCCGCGCCATCGATTTGTGCTGCGTCTCCGAAACGCGCATACAAGATCCGAGTAGTGTCATTCATCTGACCTCACCATGTCAAAATAAAGAACCGACTCGATTCACACTTCGTGTATCTGGAAGCCCTGATTCTGCTTGCCGTGGCCTCGCCGGCGTAGGCATAGCATTGAGTCCCAGAGCAGAACTAGCTCTCTTAGAGTGGATCCCAGTAGACAACCGTTTGTGCGCTGTCCGACTGAACAGAACAGTAAGAATCCGGGAAGATAGGGATACCCGTCGTTGCCTCTTCGTCGTTTCTGCCTATTCTCCCACTGAATGCAGCTCAGATGATGTAAAAGATGAGTTTTACAGAAAGCTTTCTGACCTTCTCCGAAAAGCTAGGCGCTCAGATGTAGTAATAATGGCCGGTGACTTTAATGTTCAAGTAGGTAAACTAAGCGATAGGGAAAGACACCTGGGCGGATCTTATAGCATCATGGCTCAAAGAACAGATAATGGCGACCGTCTGTTGCAGCTATGCTCGGATAACCGCCTCTTTCTTGCAAACACTAACTTTAAGCATAAGGAAAAACATCTTTTAACATGGAGACCCTCTAATTCGTCCCAATGTTGGACCCAACTAGATCACATCGCTATCAGCCACCGATGGAGGGGCTCGATAGAAGACTGTCGCTCATTCTGGAGCACATGCTTAGATTCAGATCATGCTCTAGTACGAGCGCGTATCTGTCTGCGTCTTACTGGACGTAGGAAAGACGCTGCAAGTAAACCTCTTAGGGGCCTACTTAATGATAGTCAAGCTAAGAGTATATTTCAGGAACAACTAGGAAAACAGTTAGGCAGCCATGTATGTGATGCCCACCCCGAGGCAGCATGGAATGATATCCGTAAAGCTGTGGAAACAGCAGTGATATCTGCTAGTACGGTAAATCAGAAGGTTAGGGAACGACACTTGATCTCAGCAGCATCTATCGCAATGATAGATGCCCTGACAGGTTTACTCCTGAGATTTTTAAGGATGGTGGTCCAGTATTAGCAATGAAATTAACCGAGGTCTTAGGTAGAATTTGGGAACTGGACGTAATCCCATCTGACTGGTCTCAATCACTGATTGTGCCAGTTTATAAGAAAGGACAAACGTCCTCTTGTGACAATCACAGAGGAATCAGTTTGACTAATATAGTGTCTAAAATATTAGCTTCAATAATACTTCGACGCCTAACCAAAGCTCGTGAAGAGCAAACTAGAGAAACTCAGGCCGGTTTTCGACCTGGACGTGGTTGTATAGATCAAATATTCACACTACGTCAGGTTGTAGAACACAGACACACGTTTAGACGCCCCACAATGATAGTATTTCTCGACCTTAAGGCGGCATTCGACTCTGTTGATCGTGAGGTTCTATGGCAGTGTTTGTCACTGAAAGGAGTACCAAAGAAGTACATTAACCTTATACAGGCTCTCTACTCGAACACAACTGGTAGAGTGAGAGCTTATGGCGAACTGTCATCAGAATTGATTACCTCAAGTGGTGTTCGTCAGGGCTGTCCACTCTCCCCATTCTTGTTCAACTTTGTGGTCGACGTACTTTTAGAGATAACACTCTCCTCATCTAAATTTCCAGGGGGTGAACTTCTACCGGGAGGTTCACTTGTTGACTTAGAATATGCTGATGACATAGTTTTATTTGGCGAAGACGCTGACAAAATGCAGAGTCTTCTAGCCACTCTAAGCAACAATTCAAGCATGTTCGGGATGCGATTCTCTCCCTCGAAATGCAAAATGTTGCTTCAGGATTGGGTTGCATCGACACCCGAACTAATGATAGGGAGTGAAGTAATTGAGTGTGTCGATCGCTTCACTTATCTTGGAAGTCGCATCAGCCCTTGTGGTCTGGTATGTGACGAAATTTTAGCACGGATACAGAAGGCTCGACTAGCTTTCGCTAACTTGCGTCATTTATGGCGTAGGCGAGATATCCGTCTATCAACCAAAGGACGGTTTTACTGCGCAGCAGTTCGTTCCGTCCTGCTTTATGGAAGTGAAACATGATCGGTAAGAGTAGAGGATATTCGTAGACTACTAGTATTTGATCATAGGTGTCTTCGAAATATTGCTCGTATATCATGGGACCATCGAGTAAGTAATGCAGTTGTTAGGAAACAGGTACTAGGTAAGAATGGCAAATCAATTGATGAAGTGGTGAAACTTCATCAGTTGAGATGGCTGGGACACGTGTTACGTATGCCCAACGACCGACTGCCTCGACATGCGATGTTCAGTGGTATAGGAGTAGATTGGAAGAAAGCTAGGGGCGGCCAGACCAAAACATGGCACAAGTCCATGAAGTCACTGGCAAGTGGACTGAGTCATGTTGGTAGGTGTAGACTACCTGGTTGAGGACCGCGAGATGATAGCAACCGATGGTTAGAGACCTTGAATGACATGGCTCAAAATCGTTTGCAATGGCGCAGGTGCATCCACTCTTTGTGTTCTCCCAAATTTTGATCTCCTGATTCCCCTTGTCTCTTTTTTTTCTCTTCCCAAGTTTATTTCACTGTATTATACTCTTTATGTAACATCTCCAAACACTAATCTTTCCGATTACTGCTTATACTCTTATTACCTCTACCACTAAGGGATTTGAATCGACCACGGCATCTCTGTGGCTAATGTGGTGTGGCAACTCGAACTGATGTACGTACGTACGAAGTTGTACGTTGTTACTGACTGACTGGACTAAACCAGGCTGGAGTGGACGAGGTGCTACCACACAGAAGACCAAAAAGGATTAAAAGTTGACTCAAGGTTGGTCGTGCTGGTTGACGCATAACTGGTTTAGCACAGGGACAACATCATACAAGTCATTTTGATTGATGATTTTGTCACATGATATTCGACGGGCCATATGACATATCAGTTTACTTGGTAGATAAAAAATAACGTAAACTGAAGTAGAATATAAATCAGGTAGCGAATTTTCTTTTTTTTCAAGATCAATACACAGGGCCCGGAAACTCCGAGAATCATCCAATAATTATGAAATAAGTACGTGAACATTTGATTGCACTTCTGGTTGTTAGCTTGTTGAGCAAAAAACGAAATGGTATTGATAAGAATACGAACGATGATAAATGTTCACTAAAATTCCAAGGATGAATATACACGAAAACCTATGTACCGAGACGGGATATCAGTAAGTTATTAAGGATATTAAAGATAAAGAATACACTAATTGTACTGTCTTACCTGTAATAAATAAACTGGTCACTTATGAAGAATGACATACATACAGAAATGAAAACAGATAATGCCAAAACGTCAAGATTTAGAATGACTTTTGTTTCGTTAGAAATGCGCATCTTCAGCCTATATACAACAAATCTAAAAGAGAGAAGAGGTATACGTTTCTTGAAGGAATTTCTACTAGCTTAAAATCAATATACATCTCATTTTAATAATGAATGGTAATGAGTATTGAGTTACTCCTTACCATCATTTTGCCTTAGATTTCGTGCTTCTCTAGACAATTAGTTCACATAAAAATTGTGGAAATCTTTAAAATGAATTAATACGTGAATGAACGTTGTATGCGTCTGGAATAACAAGCAACTTCGAGAATGTATCGAAGAACAATATGCGCACAGTCCTCTTAAAGCCTTATATATGATGACAATTAAGTTAATCAATTTCAATAGAACACAAACCAACACGAACGGAAATAAGGAACGTTTTAATGGAACAAAACAACTGAAATGCAAAATTCCACCTTCTTGTATAGAGTTGTTACCCTCATTTATTAGGCTTCATATCGGGAACAAGAGTCGTTTGACTACCTTGTTTTCCCTTGACTAAAACTATATCTTACCCTTGTCTACTTTACTAACCTGACAACAAATACTCGATTCTACAGACGTATTTTTCTCTTCCTCCCATGACTTATTATCATAGCATAAATTATTTGATAAAAAAACGCGTTTTAGGTACATACACTGTGATCAATAGCGGTGTAAAAATAAAATTTCTTTAGTTATTTGAAAATTTTCGATGAAAAGATAAAATGAGTATAAATGGTACATGGAATACTATGGGACTAGAATTGTTTTTAACTGCTTGATAATCTAGTGCACGTAAAATCCGAAATCGAAAAATGGGGCTCATTCAAATATGAGGTGACAATCCGGTCAACTACATAAAGTTTCTATGTCTTTCAGTTACAATAATCTCTCTTTATGACTCATGGTGCTAAAATTACAAAACCAAGAGGAGAGAAGAAAGCTACATGACTGCTCAAAGATCTAAAAATTCGAATGGTAAAATGCAGGTTTCTGGCGGATTGATATTGGAAAAATATCATATTTATTCGTGTTAAAGGTTTTCGGATTCGCTAGTGTACTGACATATTGCAAAAACTCGACGTCTTAAAAATTTCAGTTACTTTCTCGGCAACGAGCGTAGTGCATCCAGAGACACTTAGTAAGTTTAAGAAGCATAAAGAACACATTTAAAATAACCAGAAATAACAAACTTATTAACTAAATGGTCAAACCTTATATACCTTGTGATTACTTTAAGTTGGTAACAAAGTCTTTATCATTCCCAATCAGGTTCAGGAATATCAGATATTCCAAATTATTTTCGTCGTTTAAAATGTAGCCATAATAAATACAAACTTCTGCAAACGACCCTGAGTTGAAGGTCTTTCAAGGTGTTTCAGAATATCAGTAATTTGTACTCGTTCTACAGATTAGCGTACAAGTGAACGCTATCAACCTTTGATCCTGCCAAAATATCATTATGCTATTCCTTTGATCTTGTTTGTGATAGTATTTAAAATAGCACCTTATTATGCTTCGTCTGCGTTTATTACAAACGGTGGTGTTTTTTTACTTCGTATGTCATCCGTATATCTGATATTTGAAATTACAACACATGATGCTTCCAGCTAATTCTCGAATACATACTGAAACTGAAAAGCATTTACCAGTCTTAATGTACTGGAAATAATAAAATTAACGTCTAGTACACCACCCTGATATAAACAATTCACTATTTAGTGGTTCCCATTTAGGACGTAGGTGATAAAGTAACATTACTGTTCTTGATTTTTTTAGGGATTAGAAACGTTTATTTGAACCCGCTGCGTATCCTTGTATGACTCCTAGCTTAACCTTGATCTTGATGACTTCAGAAAAATATTTTACTAAATATTAATTCAATTACATTCACAGTTTCGTACATTTTACTGCGGCGAACGATTTGTTTATTGAACCTACCTAAAAAATGGTGTGGATTTTCTACAAAAGTTCCTAGGCACTATCAACATCTCAGTTTCAAACGTAAAACAAGATCAGGAGTAATTATTATATTGTCCTGTGTAGTTGGCCTCCTAGTTAATAAGTTTGTTATTTCTGGTTATTTTAAATGTGTTCTTTATGCTTCTTAAACTTACTAAGTGTCTCTGGATGCACTACGCTCGTTGCCGAGAAAGTAACTGAAATTTTTAAGACGTCGAGTTTTTGCAATATGTCAGTACACTAGCGAATCCGAAAACCTTTAACACGAATAAATATGATATTTTTCCAATATCAATCCGCCAGAAACCTGCATTTTACCATTCGAATTTTTAGATCTTTGAGCAGTCATGTAGCTTTCTTCTCTCCTCTTGGTTTTGTAATTTTAGCACCATGAATCATAAAGAGTTATTACGGCGAGACTATAATTTATGGACGAACCAGCCCGATTTACGATAACAAGTCTTAGCACTTGACACCTCTTTTCGTTGCTTGATGAAGTCAGTATCTCATTTTTCATTTATCATGAAAGTACTTTGAAAGCTTAAGTAGAACCCACAGTGACGTAAGGAAAGGTAATATTAATTTATTCTCTGTAATGAGAAATAAATGAAATATAAGCCGACACTCTGTTATACACAGAAAACGCTTTACATTTGTCAAGCAATAAAACCCAAAACACTCAGCAGTAACGCAAGTGTGCAACAAAGACAATGTGATAAACGATGTTTTAGGTTTCGAAAAGTTTACTTTTGGCTTAAGGTCATGTTATAACCTTTCGTTCAATAAGCAATATCTTCGAAATAGGTGGGTGCAAACAGGATAATTTCTTTACCAACTCCTCTTATTGTAACAGTGTAATCAAGGACTGATGGTCTTTTCACTAAAGTTTTGAACTTCCAGTTTATTTAAGTGATTATGACTTGAGTGAAAATGAACTCATTTACTGCAGGGCATTTAAATTGTTGGAATCGGAGCTGCCATATTACCATGCAAAATAGTTACCTGGTTGTAATACATTAAATTATCGAGAAACTACGAGAAGGCAGTGGCAAAGAAAACTAAGCTAACTGATTGCTCAAGCAGTATGAAATATCATAGAGTAAGCATAACGATCAAATGGTGGTGCCAAGGAATGAAATTGGTAAATACATGCTAGTTAAGATATATGAAGTAGTAATATCAGTGATGAATCTGAATTAAACAATAAACATCAGACTTTTCATGCAACTGGCACTAAACTTTTGTAGCGGTAAACAGATCCACCAAAAAAATATCTCTTTAAATTTTCGACATCGGATGTTGACCACATTAGTTTTAATGAACTCACCTAGCTGAAGGCGGTCGGTCATGCATCTGCACCAGATCACGAGTGGGAACGCCGTCATCAACATCCCCTGCAATCGCTAACCAGATTAGATCAGAGGTCCTCCATACATTGATAGTCTATCAAATCTATCTTCGAACCTCCTCGCTTCTGTCCTTTGATTTCACTTGGTGGGTACGATTCATATTAGAAGATGTTACTGGTTAAAGCGTTGTCAAACTCCAAATACATGTGGCATTTTCATTAGTGAGCCCGACGTGATCTGGTACACCACATTGCAAACTGTGAGTCTGTTCCTTTTTGGAATTCTGTACATTATTGTCTTATATTAATTTTTCATATAATGTGACATATGTTTTCGTGTATTTGGATATATATATATATGTATATATATTTCACTCGTTCCTTCTCGTACTTGATATTTCACCATGACTGAACAGACACACAAAGCACTTGAGCTAAAGACTATGTCCCCACCTTCGTTTCAACTAATGCCCTTCTGGCCAGACAACATCGAAACTTGGTTCTGTTACGCAGAGGCCGACTTCTACGATCACGGCGTGGACGACACACATGCACAATTCCTCGCAGTATTCAAGGCACTACCGCGCGAATTCAACAGGTACGTAACATCTAGAATATTTGCTAGTGATGTTTCTGAACCTTACGAAACTCTGAAACGTTCTATCCTTAAATGCGTAGACCTAACCGATAGACAATGGTTAGACCAACGCCTTAGTAACATCGACCTGCAACACGGTTCTGAGACGAACGTGTTGCAACGAATGAGAGAGATTATCGGTCAAAGAACCTTCGATGATGGCCTATTCAAACAACTTTTCTTATCTAAACTTCCTCAACATGTGCAAGCTGTGCTGGTCTCGTTCCAAAACAATGCCTTAGACGAACTAGCTTCATCTGCCGACAGCATTTTAGAAATCACGAAATCTAACGCTGAGGTTTTTTCAGTCTAAGAAAAGCCTCAAATGATCCAGAATGACATTACATAGTTATGTCATACACTTACACGTTATGTTAGATTTCGTAACGACCGTAAACGGTCACATACTCCTCGAAGAAGCACTTCACGTAAGCGATCTGTCTCTAGACGACGAGAGACTGATAACCCCAGTATGGAAAATTCTCATAAAATTGCAGAAAACCATGCAATTTTTCTAACTCAATCCTGACCGACACGAAAAACATTTCGGGAAACTTTCATTCCGGCAAGTGTTAACGGCAACCGTAGCCCGCGAACATAACCGTCTGTTATACATCACAGATATGGTAACTAAAGTTCGCTACCTTGTCGATATTGGCACAGAAGTAAGCATTCTTCCATTGAATCCTAACGACTGGCTTCGTGAATCGGTTTTAAATCTACATGCGGCAAACGGAAAGCCTATCGCTACGTATGGCAAAGGGTGCGTTTACCTTAACGTGAGTTTACGTAAGCCCATTCACTGGATTTTTTTGTTGCAGATGTTTCCATGCCAATCACTGGTATAGATCTCCCACAACACCATAATCTACTCATCGATACGCGCGAACGGAGGCTAGTAGACGAAAACACTAATTTATCTGTTTGCGTAAGTTTGTTTTCTGGTTGCAGGTAATCTCCAATCACAACTAAGCACGCGATAGACCCATCCTATCAACCACTACTCGGTCAGTACTCTGAGATATACCAACCGCAATCGAAGTTGCCATGTGTAACCAGCAGTGTTACATATCACATCACAACCACATGACCACCTGTATTCTCTAAAGTATACCGACTGGCCTCCAAAAGCAAAGGTTAGCGAAAGACGATTTCGGCCACATGATAGACTTAGGTATCATAAGGCCGTCAAACACCCTATTATCATCCTCATTGCACATGGTCCCTAAAAAGGACAGCAAGGATTGGCGTCCGAATGGGAACTACTGGCGATTGAATGCGAAAACCATTCCCGATCGTCACCCGTTGCCTCACATTCAGGATTTCACAACTACCTTGAAAGGTACAATTGTCTTTTCAAAAATTTACTTGGTTAAAAAATGAAGTTGACTTCAAGGGCGTAAGAATAGGAGTACGTTAAGCTGAGGACTGGATCAGTTCAATTATTCGTTCCGAACACCGACCGCCCAATATCTTATATACTGCTTCTCAATGGTCATAAGGAATTACTCGTCTTTTAAGAAAGACTAAGTCATCCTGTACTTGAAGGTTTACAGGTTGATTCCACATCCATCCTCTGAAGTTGACAATCAAATCTTTAAGTAAAGTATCAAAATCTTATTTAGAATTTAATGAAGACATCTCTACTTTAAACGTCTTCAAAATTTTCAAACCTGATGTTGACGGTCCTGTGTCACTAAAAAAATGAAAAGTCATATATGAAGAATTTTAATCTCTTATTAGTAATTCACAGCAACCTCATATGGACATTTGTGTCCAGTAATCCCCAATACTGAGAAATCAGGTGATCGTACTACAACGCTAGAATCTAAAGATTTCAAGTTCTTGAATGAAATAATAGACTCTATACTGCCTGTGTCAACAATAAAGTCATGAAATAACAAGGGGATGTATGTAATCGCTTTTAATTAGGAACCTCATCAGAAACATCCATATTATTAAAGTCCGTACTATAGGGTTTATCATCACTAGTGGCAAAATGAACAGAGGCTTTACAAGCAAACTTGATGTGTCCTATTTTACCATACACAATTCATCTGTCATGAAGAAAGACACACATTACATAAGTGAAATGTACCACAGAATAAACATTTTCCGAACCTGTGCAAACCTCTGTAACCTGCTTTGCAATTCTTTGTTGAATAACTTTTCATTTTTCACGAAAATAAGAACCATCATTAAACAAAAATGAGCTTGAGTGACCCTGAGTGTGTAGTCCATCACCACGACTGCGCAAGGTACTGGAAATTTTCACTGACTGAAAACCAAGCTCATCCACTGCCTCATAATTTATACATGTTGTTTTGAATTCTTGAAGTTAACTTTTAGATTTCAGAATGAATCCACTTTCTAAATTTGGAACATTTATCCCAGCAGTCAAACGAACACGAAGTTAAGTTATCAATCGGTTGCCGAGATTGCACTTCGTGGCTTGTCTCTCTGATTCAAGTGTACAATCCTTAACTTTCTCTCTGAATTCAAAGCTGGCATACCTCACACAAATAGGTAGTAATCCTATGAGAGATTCATATGAAAATGAGGTTGTCTCTTCTGGAAAAGCCAGAGGTTTCATCAGGTTGTAAGATTCTTTCCGATGAGCGTCAGGAAATAAGCTGTGAATTTATCGTCCTCAAATCTTTTCTGGACATGCATCAGATTTCGAACCGCTCAAGGTGGTTTTAAAAGTCATAACCACTTGAACTAATATCCAACTGTCCAAAATTTGACTTGTGGTGGTTCCCAAACAAAAGGAGCTTATACAAAATATATTGGTACACTAGGTTAATAATGATATACCAAAAAAATTAATAGTAAAGAAACCTAGATGTCTGTCCGTTAGTAAAACCAAAGGTAACAAAATACCGTTAGCAATACAAAAGGTATATTAAACAAACAGACACTAACAGTTACTATAGAATGAATGTTACTTGTGAACTTCCTCGTGAGAACAACGACCACAAACTGAGTTCACTTGATTGACAGGTGTTCCTCTGCAAGTGACTGCACCAATGACGTAATGAGGAAGATGGAGTCCAATAGTATTATACAATAGTAATCCGCGCCAAAAGTCTAACGTTGAGTTGGAAGGCCTATAATGATGTTATAATACTATTATAGTCTTCAATCAAAACGGTGGCCAATAAAACAGAAGAACAAACGGCGTAGATAGTGTTCTATATTTTAAACAACGCGGTAGTAGAATCGTATATCATTCATCGAAACAATTATCATCGTCTTTTTAATAAGTGATACAGTAAAACAACAGATATTGAATAAAAATGTGGTTACAAATAAAGTGTGACAAATTAGAGAAAAAAATGTGGTTTTTATTTTTGTTGTTACAAAAATCACTGAATATATGTCACCATATAACTCCATCCCCTAGGGCATGCGTCGGCTTTCGGCTGTCATGTGTTTCGGACTCTACGAAAGCAGGTTTTATCCTGTCGAGTGAAACTGTTTCTTTTTTTCCGTTCTTATTGATTGTGAAATATTTTGTTTGCCTCTCAACTACTTCATACGGTCCTTCATAATGATGTTATAGAGGACGTCTTACGGAGTCAACACGAACAAATACAAATTTACACGTATCTTGATGCTTGCCAACTTGCTCTTTTAAGACTGCTAGCCAAGGTGCAACAGGCTTAATATTATTCATATGGCTCATTAGTCTTTCGCAAATAGAAGTGGGATCTGTACATACGGGTTTGCCATTATG